TATTTTAGGGCATTTTTTAAAAAACCAAGTATTTGTATAATCTTTAAATGAAGTGAAAAAATGAGAGAGGGAGGGGGGAGGGAGGGGGAGAGAAAAAGAGAGAGGGAGAGGGAAAAAGAGAGAGAAATTCACCTTTCCTGCAATGTTATTCTTCTTCTCTATTTGAGTAAGGTGGCTTAACCATAAATTACTATGGCATCCAATTCAGCAAACTACTGTCTAAATAACACTCTAAATAATAGTTTGAAACTTCAAATGGAAATTTTGATTCTGGGATGCTGAAATTATCAACTCTGATTTATTTTGATACATAAACATAGCATTCATGGCAATTCGGAAATGAAACACCTTCATAACTATGTTACCAATATAAGTAGAAGAATCATTAGGCACATTTAGTATATTTTTAACTAGGAAAATGAATATATTAAAACATGCTGGGAGACAGGACAGCTATTTTGAAACACATATTAAATAACCTAAGCTTGCTCAGTGATATTTTAGTTATCTTGGTAGTAGTTCATATGCTTGTGTTGCTCCATAAAGATGGCCGTCAAATATGGATGAAGTCTGATGCAGCATATACATTCAGACACCACTTACTCTATTTCAAAATTAGTGTAGTGCCTAGCAGTAAACTTCACATGTGCAGATTACTGGTGGGAAGAACAGGCAGCTGTTATCTTTGAATATGTCATATCAATTTGTACTGCAACATGCAGATCTAAAGACGGAAGTAGTTTTCCTATAAAGTATTTTAAACTTATATTTTGTTTTAACATATTTATATGGCCACACAGCTATCAAAAGCCCTCTGGGCAGCAAACATAAATACAGAAGAAAATCACAATTCACAGTGTGAATAAAACCTTTTTCTTGCGGCTTCTAAGTCAGTGTTGATGCCTGATTCCTGCAGTTTTCGTGCTAAAATTTCAGAAGTGCATTGTTTGCTTTCTAGGGCTGAGAAAGAACAATTAGCCCAAGATCACCCAGTTGACTCAGGCTTTGTGCCAAGTTGTGACTAGAACTCACAGTTTCCTACTTTCTATCCTGATGCTTTAACCATTAACCAAACTGACTCTCAAATAGGAAATAGAGATCCCATATTAGAGTTCGGTTAGCATCCTGGTCCCAGATTCTGGAAGGGTGGCAGTGTCGCGGTCATCTATGTTTTAAACTGAAGCTTTTCCATAAGAGGCATAATTTCATAGAAGGCATGCTTTCCAGGACCTATCAAGTGACACTATTTCACCAATGGGACCTACAGCATGCCCACTTTACCCCGTCAAGTGATCTGGACATAAAACAGTGGGGAGAGGTACAGGAAACCCAGCCCCATGCCAACAAAGGCTTCAAAGGTGTCAACCAGCATCTTAAATTGAGAAACTGGATGAAAGCCTGCAGTTGGGGGAGCAGCAGTGTTACTTGGGCACAACATGAAGCCCAATATTGCCCATATTACTGCATTCTGAATCATCTGAGGCTTCTCAATTCTCTTTAAGGACAACCCTATGTAGAGTATTTGTAATAAGTCAAACAGGAAGCGACTAAGGCATTATTTAATGTATTATTCACTTGTAATGCTGACACAACAGATAGCATCATGTACTTCTTGACACATGTGCACTGGGATGAGATGGCGCTTACCCATTTCAATACTTTTTTAGGAAGAAGAAAAACTCATTTAATGAATAAATCAAACTGATGGTACACACAACATACTAAGCCACAAACAAATGGCTTAAAAGTCCAACATTCTGACTGCTAAATGTGTAGCATAATGGTTTACATCTCTGCCAAAACAGTCATTCAGTATTACTGTGTCCAAATCTGGGGATCCAGGTGTGTGACAGGCCCTGTTTCCTGGCTATGTTAAAGGCCTTTTATATTTAACTGGTAATCATGTTTTATTTTTAAAGTTTATTTTAGTACAGTAACGTGTTTTTATTTATATTAAATTGTGTACCTCCCAGAGTGAGATGTGTGGCCATATAAATTGAATAAATAATTAAATACTGTTGAATTACTATTCCATTTGCAAAAGAAGCTGAATGAAAATTTCTGTTAGCGGAAAGGTGAATTTGGAATTGGTTTCTCTTTTTCATGAAGTATGGCGTGATGAAAAACTGCTCTACTAAAAGCAGAAGACATAGAATGTGTTATGAAATGCATTGTTTCTTAAATCATTATACATGTATATCTCTTTCCTATTAGAGTCAGATGGCAAATAAGTCTTAGAAAATCTGTTATTTTGTTTTGATCTGCCTTTAAAGATACATTTTTATGTGATAATTTATGGTACATGCTTGCCTAAAGGAGAAATAGCTTTAGTGATCATTTTAAGCCATAGATATATCATAGGCTATATATCAGTTGTGTAGTGAAGTTCTGGACCTCCATTTTCTCTCCTTTACTTTAGAAAAAAATAGTGTCCACCATATGTATGAACTTTGAGATATAAAATTTGTCCAGTGATTATTAATTTAAAAAGGATGAAAGTTTATGTTTTTATGGATTTAGTGAACTTTTTAACCTAGTAACAGTTAGAATCTATTGCTTTCAATGGAGAGATAAGATCGAAAAGTTTTAGGTATGATCTAGTGAATGTTGGTTACAATAATGCCTAACCATCAATGTATAAATGACCTTTTCTCACTGCCTAGAAATAAATCAATTCTTGCTCTCTTTTCTTGAGGATTTATACTGCACAAATATGCCATAATATTTATATGCTTTAAGAATATGAATGATTGTTCTTTACCATTATAAATTCACAAGTGTCATTTCTGTTTTACATTGTAGTACGGTATTTGAGTGCTATCATTTGCAAAAGCAATCTTGAATTGAGAAATTAATATAAAATCCAATGTTTCTAAGTAAATAGAGTATTATCACATATTGAACATTTTGCCTCACAAAATGAAGTATATCAGCTAACCCTAGAGTTTGAAAACTGACATGTTGTAATACTATTATTAAAGGTATTTTCATAAAGCAAGTAGTCATGGATTGCCCAGCACCCTTCCTAGATTTAAATCCATTCGGTTATCATAAAATGTCTTCCTAACATATAACACTTCAAACTCTCTAGTCCAGGGGTGTCAAACTCTAATTCATTGAGGGCCCTCGGGGGACCAAATGGGCGTGGCTGGGGTGGGTATGGACAGCTCAACATCCTGCAGTCTGCGTGCGGCCCTACCAGGCTCCGTTTTCGTCTGCGACGGCCTCCTGCAGCCCTCTGCCAGCGAAAATGGATCCTGGGAGGGCTGTGTGCGGCCCTCCCGAGTTCTGTTTTTGCTGGCAGAGTGCAGCAGAAGGCCATTGCAACCGAAAACAGAGCTTGGGAAGGCCGCATGTAGCCCTCCCAAGCTCCGTTTTCACTGGCAGAGGTACCGTGGGCCAATCCTTCACTGTTTCCAGGGCAGCCCCATGGGCCAGATCTAAGCACCCTGTGGGCCGGATACAGCCCAGGGGCCTTGAGTTTGACACCCCTGCTCTAATCCACAATCAATCTAATTCATAGGCAGGATCTCTCAAGTATGAACAACAAAACCATTTAATGGATGTACTTTCACACAGAAGAAAGCAAATTTTCATCACCTGCAGGTAATAAATCCCATACCAATATATATCATATATAGGTTGACGTATATTGGTATGGGATATCTAAGCTTTTTAAATTTATTATTTAAGCTTTTATACATAAAAGACTATATTTAATTCTCTAAAAGACAGCTCAGACTAAGAGAATAAACACATTTTTATTTTTCAACCCTTTACTTTCAAAAATCTAAAACTTTCTTTCACAGCCTTGGAATAATTTCAACGTTTAAGTGTCACTAAAGGTTGTAATTAATTTTTTTGAAATTTTTTCTTCATAATTTTTTTTGTCAAAACATTGCAAACACAATGAAATCAAACCAAAGTGTGTTATCTGATAATTTTCAGCAACACTCAGAAAAAGGGAATGGGGCGGAGGAAGGAAGAAATGTATATCTACTGAAAGATAAATTACATTTTCATAAAATAGCTTTATTCATAAAGCTAGAAAAAGATGGGAATCAAAGTTATATATGTATTTGTACGGTGGTAAGTGTGCTCCTTTACAAGGTACAGCTAAACAGCCACGTCTTTCTCATGAAGTGGGTATATAAATTTGGATATAATCATCCTAAACTCTATCCCAGTCATTTCTAATCTGCTATATTCAGGTGCTTTGACTAGAAGTATAGAAGTTTGACTAGAAGGCTGCATATAGTCATACTATATGCAGCCATGGAAAGGACAGAATACAGACCTTATACATTAAACACTAAGTTCACATATCACAGAAACCAAAAATGAAATCAACCACATGATGGTTGAATATGATACATGAACCAACACATGGCTTAATGCAATATGTAAGTCTGCTCCATGGTATGACACCTGTTACTTAACTCCTGTAAATTTTATTGTTATTTATGTGTAAAATAGACCTAATCTTCTTTGAAATTGGAAGAAATTTCATGAAAGTTAACATAAATTCATTGGACAAAAAGGTGAAATAAAAAAGCACCATTTTTTAAAAAATGAACAAAAAATTAATTCCTAGCCTTTTACAAACTTCATAGGCAGGTCTGAACAAGTTATTTTCAGTGGGTATTAGATCTGTTAATAAATTTCACCACTATGGAAAAGACAGTCAAACCTCAAATACAAACAATTTGAAAAGTATTTCTATTCTACAATTGGCATATGAAACGAAAAATAATGCTTAACAAACAGAACAACTAGTTGCTCTTTTGGAGACTTTGTTTTTTTATTGTCCACCCACACAATATTAGTGAAGTATATCCTACATCACCATTCTATACATTGTGACTTCAAAATGAGTCACAGTCATTTAATTGGAATTTCTAGAACAAGTGTGCATAAAGCAGGATTATAACCTTAATGTGCCATCCTTTGCTCACCTATTAAGGAATTAAACTTAATGAGACTCATTTGCATCAACAAATACAAGACCTAATGCACTGATGGAAAGACAAGTCAGCCTGAAAGCAAGAATGCAAAATAGGTAAAGGAGATTGCTTTTCTTCTTTCTGTCCTCCTGAGAGTTAAAAAATAAAATAAAGTGAATCAGCCTTCACAAATTTAAAAATTAAATTTTTACATCCATAACCTACCACAATATTCCTTTAATTGGAACCAGTATTATGAAAAAATGGAAAAAAGTAATAGTATGGAAAATAAATTTAAGGCCTATAAATACTATTGATCTCTGTCACTTGGGTCAATTTCACATAGAGCCTTGTCTCAATTTTCCATAGAACTTTATCTCAATTTTCTATAACTAGCAAGGAGGAAATGCTAGTCAGTTTCAGCTCATTGGGGGGGTGGGGGGGTGTCAGAAGGAGAACCAAGTTCTATTTCAAGCTCACACTATTCCATGCAAGCTAAGATCTTGAACCACCCTTGCAGGCCAACATACAATATACCCATCCCACCAAATACCTTAATCTTCAGGCTCAAGAAATTAAATTCCAAGACCCTCCACTTTTTTTTTTTTACAGTTTTCAAAGAGGGTGTGGCATATTTAGATCCTCTTTTACCAATCCCAGGAAAAACAAGCCAGTCTAACCCAGAGCAGCTTCAGCCCAACGGTTTGAGTACAACTGATTCTGCAAAATTACAGCAATGAGGAAGGGGGGGGGGAGGCGTTTAAGAGAAAGAGAACTAAACGCCAAGTCAAATCGAGGGAAAACAGTCCATCTCCCCAGGGAAAGATTTCTTTGGCATTCCCTCTCGTTCTCGCCCATCCCTTTCTTTCTACTCCGGATACTGAAGCCGAAAAACATTCCACCAGGCGTTCACTACCTGATGGGGAGCTGACTGAAAGGAAGAGCCGAGTTGTTAAAACACCTAGCGGTGGGAGGGCTGCTTCGGTCTGCAGCTTTCATTACAGCGTTTCCTTACTGCACTGCAGAGGCGCCATCTTCTCGCTCTTAAACTCCGCTCCAACCCATTTCCTTTCATCTGGTTCCCCAAACTCCCCTCCTTAGAGGAAAGCCTCTCGGTGTACGAAGCGCTTCATGTCCACACCGAAGGAAACCCTCTTGGGGGATTTGGGCAGATTTCTGCTTTCCCCCAACCTCTCCCAGTCCTGCCTCCCAAACCTTCAACGCACTCCAGGATAAACTAGACGACCTTATTACGGAGGGAGGCCCCATCATAATGCCCCTTTTTCTCCCTGACTGGGAAACACGGAGGGACAGAGAGGGTCGCAGTTGGTGGGAGGAAAGCCCCCCCCCCACCCAAAGGCGGGAGGGGGCTGTTCCGCAGGAGCCGCAACGCATTAATGCCTTAGTACTGAAGTTGCCCGAGCCACAGGCACCTGAGCCGAGAGAACTTCCTCCTCCTCCTCCCATCCCCCTCCACCATGCACGGCGGGAGTGAGGGGCAATCCCCAAAACGAGCGCCTCTTGTTTGCATTCCCTGTGAAGGCGAGGAAGGGGGGGGGGAAGCAGTGATGAGCGGGCGATAACAACCGCCTAGCCGGAGGATGGGGTCTCCCGGCCCCAGCATCACAGGCGACGCCCCCCCCCCACTTCTCGATTTCCTCCCCCAGATCGGCCACACCAGACAACACAGAAGAAGCGTAAAGACAACCAAAAAAACAGGGGGGGAAAAACCGCACGGCGGCCGGCGACAGACATGAAACTCATCTCCCCTCCTGCCCCCTCCCCTTTCATCTTTGCAAAGCAAAGCATCGAATCCACCGATGCCAAGTTGGCGCATTCCAGAAAGGATGGATGCGAGGCAGAAACAAGGGGCCTCGCCCTCCCCCTTCGCGCCCCCTTTTCTTTCCCATCCCAGAGACTGCCCGCTTCCTAAGTAACAGAGAAGAGGCAAGATTCCCTTCTCTCCACCTTTCGGAAGCGCCCCAGAGTCGACGGACGCTCGCTGAAAGGCTGCCCAAAGCTACCCGCAAGTGACCAAGAGAGGCATTTTTGGAAGCCGCTCGTCCCAGCCCGCCCAGCCTCCTCTCTCCATTGTTCAGGCTGAAGCAGGGATTTCTGAAGAGGCGCGGATCGAGGAACACACCCTTTCTTCTCGAGCCTCAGCAGGCCGCTTTCTTCGGCCAGTTTCGGGGCGAAGCCCTAGCTTAAAGCTGCGGGAGGCTCTCGGCGAACAAAGACTTTCTTGTCGTAGCAACAGGGAGAAGGTAATGGGGAGCCGCTTACCTCCAAAGCTCCCGCTGTCCAAGAGGCTCCCAGGAGCAGAAAAGCTAAATGCGGCAGCATCGCGGGCAAAAGCAGCAGCTAAGGACGCTGGAGCTCAGGCACTAGTTTTAAAATATATACGGAGACAGCTGAAAGATATCCGCCCAGTCGCCTCGCTTCGCCTCCTCGCTCTGCTGAGGAATGAAAACCGAGCTGCAAGAGCAGCAGCAGCAGCGTTAGCGGAGCTTCGGAAAGGAGAAGGAGAGTCAGCTGATACTCCAACCCGCCCAAAGCGGCGGCGACGGCGGCAGCAGTAGCAGCAGGCCGGTCCTTCGCAGAGGCCTCCTAGCGACCGGACTGCGCAACTGCAACTGCCATCGTTTGATTCCTGAAAGCCCCGGCCGGGAAAAAGCGAAAAGGGAGGAGCGGAAGGGTCTCTGCGTGAGGCGGTATCGGCCACAGTCTCGTATTTGTTTCTGGCGCAGCAGGCGATGGAGCGGGATGTAGAGCTAGGTCTGAGCGATCTCGAACATTATTCAGTTTAATCGGTTTATGGCGTTCAGAATTGCCCCTGCCCCAGATCAGAAGGATTGCAGAAACGAAAATCGATTTTAAGATGGAAGGATCCTAAAATGAACTTTGTTTAGTTCTGATGTCATCATCAAGCAGGGATCAGGAGTTTTTAAATATATTACTTCGGTCAGATTGGTAACTTTTGGGTTCTTAAAAAAGACAAAGCAGATTGACAAGCCAAAAGTTGAGCCCTTTCTTGTACAATTCAGCAGGATGAGCAGTAAGTGTTGCTAGAAAGTACAGGGTATCATGTCCCAGAGGTGCTTTTTCAAGAGGCAACTGGACTTTCTTAAGACGTTTGCTTCTCATCAAATCTCATCCATGGTCAGAGCAAAAGAAACTTCTTGGATGAGAAGCGAAATGTCTTCAAAGAAAAACAAGGAACTCCAGTTCCCTCTTGAAAAAGCACCTTTGGGATAACCATGACCTGGATGACAGAATCTCTATAGTTGTATGTCATAGCTAAACTGCTCTAGTAACAGTTCCTCCTGCTTCCCACTTGTGCAACTAAATCAGTTGGTGTGCTTAGTGCATCTCTTGAATTTATCATCTAAGAACCAGTAAAAGTAATGTTGAAAAACTAAATAGCTAAAAAATTATCTTAAGTGCCATGAAAACATCCTTACTTATACTAATGATGGTGCAATCATATCCAAAAGCACACATTTTCCTGTTATGTTGTGTATTTCACTATGCTTAGAACTGAAACTGAGATCAGACGATTAGTAATGGCAGTGAACAGAGGTGGATTGGGGCAGTTCTCTTTGGTCACCAGCCAATCTTAACCATTTTTCTGCCAACACATCTCCTTTCCATTTGCACTTCATTCCTCAAATTTCTTTGATACCATTTGCTCTCTCACCTCACCCCCTCACTTCTCTCCAGAGTTCCAACAAAGAAGAGAACAGCCAATCTCACTATTTCTTCTGGGGAAGGAAGGCCTTTGGGTTTGTGTTCATTTGCCCACTTTCCGATATTCATCACGTTCACAGTTAACTTCCATCTTTCTGACTGCACATATATTTATTTGGAAGGATTTATTTCCATTTATAAATTGTAAGTAGCATATATATCCGTAAAAATAGAAGACAGCCACCTAAATTGAACATCAACAGAACTAATAATCAGTCACCAATGCCTGCTGAAACAGGATTGTTCTATTAGTACAATTGTTCTAGAGAACAATTGTTCTTTTGGCTATGCAGAAGGATGTTTTGCACAACTGTAGGAATAGGAGTTCCAAAGTGATGGTAAGGTTGCTACAGATAAGAGTTCACTTTGGAGCCATGTCCCTTTGAGTTGCTTTAAATAGAACATTGAATGTAAGTTACTAATTCTTTATTCAAATTAATCAGAATGTCAGAATATCTAACAACCTGAAGTAAAAAAAAAAAATTAGCAATGCATTTCACCAAGACTGAAAAAAAGTATCAAAGAGGTTAAAATCTGTAAGTAAAATCTGATTCCAACACACACACACAAATTCTACAAGAAAAATGCCTCAACTAGCTGACTAGTAGAACCAGATGATCAAGATATGTCTACAATTAAGCAATAGAATAGAAATGTCAGCTCGGTGCCAGAAGAAGAATTGCTAACTTCTAAAAGTGAACACAAAAATGTGCAAACTTGTTAAATAGTAGGGCCAAATTTCTATCCCTTCCTGACAATTCACGAACCTGCATTATTAGAATTAATTCTGGAGAAAAAGCTACAATTAACACACTTAATAATTAAGAAGGTATCCATAACAAACAATTGAAAGAAATTTTAAATATTCAGAACAAGTTTGGATTGTTAAGGCTTTTTGCAGAATAATGGGTAGCCACTTATTTTTCCAGTCAAATAGTAATTTACCAACTAGATAATAGCCTCTCAAACTCTGGATAGGAATTCCATGTTATTTTCAACAAGCACTTCAATAAATCTAAAAGCAACAGCACTAATTTTACTATAACAATATAAAACTCAAAAAGTGATATAATTAAGATGATACAGCTTGAGTTTAAAGAAACTTTAGTATAAATAAATTCAATTAAGCAAGGATATGAGTGCAGGTTAGGTGTGATACTTAAAGCACTAAACTAAAAACCAAATGATTGTGATTTCTGGTCCTGCCTTAGACACAAATGCAGCTGAGTGACCTCAGTCTTTCTGTTGCAGCCCTATGGAGAAGGCAAGGGCTACCTCAAAGGACTGACACATCCATGGAGGATTGCTGGGAAGATTATGGTGTTGGATGTGTTTGCTCCTTTTCTTAAGGTAGCCAATTTGTTGGAGAATTCTTTTTATGTGACTAAAGCTAACTCATGCTGCTTTTCTTTTGTGTGATATTTCTCAGTCAACTCTGTTGACTAAATTGAGTTCTTGGCAAAGATATATGTGTTCACCTCTTCTTGCTTCACATATCCAAGTTTCATTTCATGGTATTGGCAGAATGGGTAGAGTACATATTGAGCTTTGTTTCTATTGATCTTTACTTGTCTCGTTCAGCTCATTTAAGCACTTTTTCAGCTTCCTCAACACTAACAATCACAATTATTGTTGATCCAAAGGGGAGTTAGCTTTTCATTGTCTATTTTAATGTTTCTTTCTTCCCAATTATGCCCTCTGAAGATCTTTTCAAAAGCTGCTGTGAAATGCTTTGGGAAGATTGTGTCACCTTTTTGGATCCTTGGATATTCATTGGATGGATAAATTGTATAACATTGGTTAAGCAGTCTTCAATTCGTGCCAGTCGGGCTTCAGGGCGGGTTACAGCACGGAAACGGCATTGATCGCATTGGTTGATGATCTCTGGAGGGCTCGGGACAGTGGTTGCTCCTCTGTTCTGGTCCTCCTAGACCTCTCAGCGGCTTTTGATACCATCGATCATGGTATCATGCTGCGTCGGCTAGAGGGGTTGGGAGTGGGGAGCACCGTTTTACGGTGGTTCTCCTCCTTCCTCTCTGACCGTACGTAGTCTGTGTTGACGGGAGGGCAGAGGTCGACCTCGAGGTTCCTCACTTGTGGAGTGCTGCAGGGATCGGTCCTCTCGCCCCTCCTGTTTAACATTTATGTGAAGCCGCTGGGTGAGATCATCCGTGGCTTTGGGGTGAAGTGTCAACTGTATACCGATGACACGCAGTTGTACATTTCAACCCCAGGCCTCCCCAATGATGCCCTTGACGTGATGTCCCGTTGCCTGGAGGCTGTGCGGATCTGGATGGGGAGGAACAGGCTCAGACACATCCAAGACTGATTGGCTGTGGTTTCCAGCGTCCCGATATAGCCAGCTCACACCATCGCTGACTATTGGGGATGAGATCTTACCCCCCTCAGAGAGGGCTCGCAACTTGGGGGTCCTCCTGGACTCACGGCTGTCATTGGATGATCATATGACGGCCGTGGCCAGGGGGCCTTTTTATCAGGTTCACCTGATTTCCCAGTTGCGCCCCTTTCTGGATCGGGATGCCTTGCTCACAGTCACTCATGCCCTCGTCACTTCCTGTCTGGACTATTGTAACGTTCTCTACATGGGGCTCCCCTTGAGGAGCACCCGGAGGCTCCAACTGGTCCAGAATGTGGCCGCGCAAGTAATAATGGGGGCGACCCGTCGCCCCCATGTAACACCCCTCTTGCATGAGCTGCACTGGCTCCCGGTGGTCTTCCAGGTGTGCTTCAAGGTGTTGGTTGCCACCTTTAAAGCGCTCCATGGCTTAGAACCTGGCTATCTACAAGACCGCATTCTGCCACCGATAGCCTCCCACCGACCGGTACGCTCACACAGAGAGGGCCTCCTCAGGGTGCCGTCAGCCAAACAATGTAGACGGCAACCCCCAGGGGGAGAGCCTTCTCTGTGGGGGCCCCTACCCTCTGGAATGAATTACCCCCGGACATACGAAGGATCCCTGACCTCCGCGCCTTCCGTCGTGCAATGAAGACCCTGTTATTCCAGCAAGCCGCTCTGATGGGATAAATGATTTTGATTTGGTTTTAATGGGGTTTTAAAATTGGTTTTAAAATGAGAGTTTTAAATTCGGCCTATGATTTAATTATTTTAATCTGCTTTTAAATTCTATTTTGTACATTGTTTTATTATGGCTGTTCACCGCCCTGAGTCCTTCGGGAGAAGGGCGGTATATAAATTAAATTAAATAAATAAAAATAAATAAAATAAATTATTTTCTGTAATAGCCAGGTATATTGTTTATTAACGCCTTCATTTTTAAAATATTTTTACAACTGCATTTTAGTCTCTATACTATCAAATGCTTGTACATTGTCAACAAACTGAAAAGACATAGGAACTGGTGGACTTCTTATGTTTCTTCTATGAACTGGCTGATCTTATATAAGTGCTTGTTGATTGATTGAATAGTCTTTACGTAAACCAGCTTACTCCCAAGGCTGATGCTCATGCAGGTATTTTTCCAATCACATGCATGAAGGATGTAGAAAGGTGGCAGATTGGGCAATAGTTTGTAATCTTTTGGGGATCTTCTGTTTTGATGAATATATTGTTTTTGAAGATTTCCATAGCTTATGGATACCTCCTACATCTAAGCAGTCATTGAAAAGCTTGTTTAGTAGTTTTGCTGGCATTTCTCCATATGTTTAGTAAACTTCTGAAATGGTTGAGTCCAGTCCTAGGATTTTGCCTGATTGCAAACTAATTGCATTGTTTTCAATTTTTGGCATTAATGACTAGCGCTCTGAACAGTAGTATTTTGAGATAGCTACTTTTGAGGCAAAAAGATAATTACAGAAGTGCCTATGTTTTTTTTTCAGTTAATATATGATTGGTTGTAGTGGTATCAGCTTTCATGAGAACTTTCAAGAGCCTTCTTTTCTGTTGCACTTCCTTCTAGCACTCTATGATGCTACTTTTTGCCTCTCTACAAGTCATTGTAGTCAATGATTTTTATAGTCTTCCTGTAGTTGTCACATTATGGTTTAGCTCATATAAAATAATCTGGGAATATTAATTAGTAGCATTGGAGCTCACAAGTAAATGTATTACTCTTTGTCTTAGCATATACATGTTAAATAGTAATGGGCAAAGAGTTGAATCTGGAGATCTCCTACTGGAATAACCAGAGGCTCAATTTCTGATCACCAGTTACTACTGAATGAAACTATGATCAGTTC